CTCTCTCTCTGTCTCTCTTTCACACACACACACACACACACACACACACACACACACGCACGCACACTAAAGGATCTCACCCTGTCACCCAGGCTGGAGTGCAGTGGTACCATCATGGCTCACTGCAGCCTTGAGCTCCTGGGCTCAAGTGATCCTCCTTCCACACTGTCCTGAATAGTTGGAACTACAGGCATGAGCCACCACATTTGACTAATTCTTTAATTTTTCTTTTTTGGAAGATATGGGGTCTTGCCATGTTGACTAAGCTGGTTTTAAATGCCTGTCCTCAAGCAATCCTCTGCCTCAACCTCTCAAAGTGCTGGCATTACAGGCATGAGCCACCATGTCTGGTCTGTTATCTCTCTTTTATTTTATGTTTCTGGTAAGTAGAAATACAGTTGGCTTTAGTATATTGATTTTATATTCAATAACATTGCCAAAATCTCTTACTAATTTTTACAGTTTATCTGTAAATGTTTATATTTTATCTGGTTGTTTTGTGGTCTCCTGTTCCTTCTTTCTTTCCTTCCTGCCTTCCTTTAGTGAAGATGATTTTTCTCTGGTGATATGATTTAGTTTCTTGCTTTTTATTCTTTGTATATCCATTGTATGTTTTTGCATAAAACTTGCAAATACTATCCTCTATCCCATTATTTTAACCTGATAACAACTTAAAACTGTATGCATTTATAAAAAGCAAAAAGAAAACTAATAAAAACTCTGTGCCTTAACTTCGTCCTTCTGCTCTTTAACTTTTTGTTGTTTTTATTTATATCTTGTCATACTGTCTACGTCTTAAAAGTTATTATAGTTTTTATTTTTGATTGGTTCATTGTTTAGTCTTCTTACTTAGGATAAGAATAGTTTGCATATCACAGTTACAGTATTATGATATTCTCTGTTTTTCTGTGTACTTACTATTATTACCAGTGAGCTTTGTACTTTCATGTGATTCCTTATTGCTCATTAATGTCCCTTTCTTCCTGATTGAAGTACTCCCTTTAGCATTTCTTGTAGGACAGATCTGGTGTAGATGAAATTCCTCAGCTTTTGTTTGTCTGGGAAAGTCTTTATGTTGCCTTCATTTCTGAAGGATGTTTTCACTGGTTATATTATTCTAGGGTAAGTTTTTCTCCTTCAGCACTTTAAATATGTCATGCCACTCTCTCTTGGCTTATAAAGTTTCCACTGAAAAGTCTGCTGCCAGATGTTTTGGAGCACCATTGTATGTTATTTGTTTCTTTTCTCTTGCTGATTTTAGAATCCTTTCTTTGTCCTTGATCTTTGGGAGTTTGATTATTAAATGCCTTGAGGTAGTCTTCTTTGGATTAAGTCAGCTTGGTGCTCTATAATCTTCTTATACTTGAATATTGATATCTTTCTCTAGATTTGAGGAATTCCTGATATTATCCCTTTGAATAGACTTTCTACTCCTATCTCTTTCTCTACCTCCTCTTTAAGGCCAATAACTCTTAAATGAGGTTATTTTCTAGACCCTGTAGTCATGCTTCATTGTTTTCTATTCTTTTTTAAATCTCCTGACTGTATTTTCAAATACCCTGTCTTCAGGCTCACCAATTCTGTCTTCTTCCTGATGAAGTCTGCCACTAAAAGACTCTGATGTACTCTTTAATATGCCAATTACATTTTTCAGCTCCAGAATTTCTCTTTGATTTTTTAAAATTATTTTAATGTATTCATTAAATTTATCTGATAGGATTCAAAATTTCTTCTCTGTTACCCTGAATTTGTCTTTCCTGAAAACAGCTATTTTGAATTCTCTGTCTGAAAGGTTGCATATCTGTTTCCCCAGGATTGGTCCCTGGTGCTTATTTAGTTTTTTTTGGTGAGGTCATGTTTTCCTGGATGGTGTTGATTCTGATAGACGTACTTCAGTGTCTGAGAATTGAAGTTAGGGATTTATTGTCATCTTCACTGTCTGGGCTTGTTGTACCTGTCCTTTTTGGGAAGGCTTTTCAGATATTCAAAATGACTTGAGTGTTGTAATCTAAGCTGTATCTGCTTCAGGGGCACTCCAAGACCAGTGATGCTGTGGTTCTTATGGACTCATAGAGGTACTGCCTTGATGGCCTTGATAAAATCTGGGAGAATTCTCTGGATTACCAGGCAGAGAATCTTGTTCTCTTCCCTCACTTTCTCCCAAACTAAGGGATTCTCTCTCTCTCTGTTCTGAGCCACCTAAACCTGGGGGTAGTGACACAAGCACCCCTGTGGCCACCACCACTATGACTGTGCTAGGTCATACCCAAAGGCAGCACAGCACTGGGCCTTGCCCGAGGCCTGCTGTAACAACTCCCTGACTACTGCTTATGTTCATTTAATGCCCTGGGGCTCTACAATCAGCAGATGGCAAAGCCAGCCAGGCCCGCATCCTTCTTTACAGAGTGCCAAGTTCATCTAGACCCTGGGTGGTTCCAGAGGTGCTGTCTGGGAGTCAGGGACTATGTTGAAAAACCTTAGAAGTCTAGCTGGTATTCTATCATACTGTGGCTGAGCTGGCACTCAAACCACAACACTCAGTCCTCCTCACTCTTCCCTCCCATTTCCAAAGGCAGAGGAGCCTCATCCTGTAGCCACCACCACCACAAGCCACAGGGAGTACAGCCAGACTACTGCTGATGTTCCTCTAAGTCTAAGTACTCATAAGGCAGCTTATGGTGAATACTGCCTGGCCTGGGACTCACCCTTCAGTACAGTGGGCTCGCTTCTGGCCCAGAGCAGTTCCAGAGACACTGTTCAAGAGTGGAGTCCAGAAATCAAAGACCTCAGGAGCCTACTTGGTGCTCTACTCTCTTGTGGCTATGCTGGTACCTAAGATGCAGGACAAAGTCCCCTTTACTTTTCCTTATGCTTTTCTCAAGTAGGAATTTCAGCCAGTAGTCACTACAGCTAGTAATGTGCCGAGTCCTACCTGAAGCCAGCAAGTCTCAGAGGGTCACCCAAAGCCCTCAACATAGGTCTTGGGTATCACTGCTCGTTATTCACAGCCTGAGGGCTTTTCACTTAGCAGGTGATGAATCCTGCCAGGCCAGGACTGGGTTCTCTTCAAGGCAGTGAGTTCTCTTCTGGCCCAGAGGTTGTTTAGAAATGTCATCCAAAAAGCTAAGGCCTGAAACAGGGGTCTCACAGCTCTGACTGGTGTCCTATCTGCTGTGGCTGACCTGGTATCCAAGATGCAAAACAAGTCCTCCTTTCTTCCCTCTCCTCTCCTTAAGCAGAAGGAAGGCGTCTCTTTTGGAGCTGTGAGCTGTGCAGCCTGGGGTTAGTGGAGGGGTGATGCCAGCACACCCTTAGCCACAGCAGCTGGTGTCTTAGTAGATCACATGCCCCTTCCAGTCCACTGTCTCCGGGCGTGGTTCAACACTAGGACTCACCTAAGATTTGCAGTCCTTATGGCCTAGACTGCCTTTCCATTTACTTAGAGACATATAGCACTGTAGCCCTTGGTGATAAAGTTTGCAGGAACTCAGGTTTCGACGATTGAAACTGGCAATTTTTCTCTGGTTAGGGCTGATTTAAATGCTCCCTCTATGGGCAGGCATTAGCAGGGCTTTGTCCAGTTTCTTTTCTGCTCTAATGGGAGGGCACTGAATTCAGTGACTCACAATTGCTATGTTCTCCCTCCCCCAGCACCCAGAGACACTCTCCGCACCATGCTACTGCTGCTGGGGGTGGCATTAGAGACCTCAGAACAGTTTTATTCACCTCTTCAGTGCAACTTTCAATGATACAACATAAACAGCAGGTATCATGAAGACTCACCTGATTTTCGGTTCTTACTAAGGTGCCTTTTTTTGTGTTAGATAATTGTCAAATTGGCGTCCTTGGGTGGGGAGGGGAAATTGGGGTATTCTATTCCACCATCTCACTCTAATTCTATCTTTTTTTTCTTAAGGAATAAATTATTAAAACTTCTATAAAATCAGTGGTCATTTATATTTTCCACATACGTACCTCTTCTTTTCTCTTTGATCCTTCTTGTATTTCAGACCTTCCATATGAGATCACTTTTTAACGCCTGAAATTTATTCCTTAGAATTCTTTCTTCCTTTCTGTCTGTATTTCTTTCTTTTTTCAGTGATTGATTTGATTTGATCTCTGTAAGCAAGTGGGAGCATGCTAATTAAGGGATGTTTCTTGGCTTTGTTCACAAAGCCTAATTATGAGAGGTTTACATGTACCCATTTAAAAGGTAAATCTAAGCATGCTTCTCTTAAGATGCACTATGTTCTGTATTCTTTTGCTGAGTAAAACAAAACGAGAATGGCAAGAGGAAGGCTAGAGAGCTAAGAGTGGGTCACCTCATGTAGGGCTTGACAGCTATAATAAAGAAAAAATCTAGACTTTATCCTAAGAATAACAGAGTCATTGAAGAGTTTCAAGCATAAAAATTATTATATTTATGTTTTAGAAATATTACTTTGGCTGCTTATGTGCAGAATAGTGTAGATCGGGGCCAATGGTGAATACTAGGAGAGCAGATAGAAGACTATTGAAGGAATACAGGCAAGAAATGAAATAGGGAGAATGAATGCATTTGATATTTGGTAGTGAATCATTAGAGCTTCATGAATGACTGTGCCTTGTTTTTGGGAGTAAAGGACAGGCTAGAGTTAAGGACAAATCTTAGATTCCTGGCTAGGAAAACAATGTGGGTGATGTTATCACTCACTGATATGGGGAACAAGGAAGAGAAGCGGTTTTGGAAGATAGAAAGGTAAGTTTCATTTTGTGCATGTTTGACGTGAGATACTTTTGAAACTTGTGATACTTAAGAGAATGTCTCATCACGGATGGTGGTTCACGCCTATAATCCCAGCACTTTGGGAGGCCGAGGCAGGTGGATCATCTGAGGTCAGGAGCTTGAGACGAGCCTGGCCAACATGGGGAAACCCCATCTCTACTGAAAATACAAAGATTAGTTGGGTATGGTATTCTGTGCCTGTAATCCCAGTTATTCAGGAGACTGAGGCAGGAGAATTGCTTGAACTAGGGAAGCAGAGGTTACAGTGAGCCAAGATCAGGCCCCTGCACTTCTGCCTGGGCAACAGAGTGAGACTTCATCTGAAAAGAGAGAGGGAGAGACAGAGTCTCCTTTGCTACTTCTTTGTCTTGGAAAAATGCAAAAGTGGTACGTTTTTCTATAGACTGCTACTGAAATGACCAATTTTCTGAAAGGGAGAGGGAAGATGATACACAAAATTTTAAGAACATAAAGCAGTTTTTCTCTACCCCTTTCTCTGACTTCTCTACATTTGGTTCCGTATTAGATATGGTCATATATTCTGCTTTACAAAGTGTGGTTATATGTAGACAATTCAATTTGTCTTACAGATAATTCAATTTAGCTTCTTTTTTTGACCAAAGAACAAGATATGGTTGGCAACCTCTTAGATGACCTCCAATGATCTCTATCCCTTATAGATTACACGCTTGTCTATAATCTTGTGTGTGTATGTGTGTGTGTGTGTGAGCTGAACATTTCAACTCACCTTTAAAAAACACTATATGGCAGAACTGATGTGATGGCACATCTGAGGTTATAGAAAAAAAAAACAACTGTGGCTTCTGTTTTGGGTGCTGAATCTCATGATCTTTCTTGGATGTCTTCATATGGGGGGAGGCCAGCTTCTATGTCATAAGGAAGCCATGTGGAAAGGCACAAATGGCAAATATCTGAGGCTTGCCAACAGCCAAATGAGAGAGCTTGAAAACAGATCCACTTCTAGTTGAGCCTTCAGATGACTGCAGCCCAAACTGACATGTTGATTGCAGCTATGTGAGAGACTGTGAACCAGAATCACCCAGCGAAGCCACTCCTAGATTCCTGACCCACAAAGACCATGAGATAATAAATGTTTGTTGTCCTCAGCCACTAAATTTTGAAGTAATTGGTTATGCAGCAGTAGATGGTTAATACACCTGGTTTGGTGTATTAATCAGGGTAATCAAGCTGGGTTATAGAAGGAGTGTTTGATATGTAGGAATGTTGTGATTGAGATAATAAGCTGTTTTATTTATTGAAAAGTAAAATAGTACATTAACAAAATCTTATCTGATAGAGAGATAATACCAGAAGTCTTCTTACTGTGATTATCAGCTAAGTGACTGGTTGAAGTCAGGATATAAATCACTGGATAGTTTTTTTTTTGTTGTTTTTTTTTTTGTTTGTTTGTTTGTTTGTTTTTTCTGGAAAGACTTAGAAAACATCAATAAGGCACTCTGTTAAAGAAATTGAAATGAGATCTTGCCCTTTGGAGAAAGGGCAAGATAATTCCTGTAGCCACAGCTCTCAGTCAGACAGAAACAGAGTTTTGACAATGGTGTTCCAGTGAGCCTGGCCCCAGAGCTCTCTTCAACTTGTCTCTTCCTTGACTTTGAGGAGAAGACTGGGCATGATTTAGAGGCTGGAGACTAACTGGACAATGGGAAGATGCAAAAATTCATGTCCTGGGCTCACCCTTTGACCTTGGGCCTTCCAGTTTCTCTTTGCCTCCCATGTCTAGAAAATGCTCAGATACTAGTCTCGCCACGTTGACAGACATGGCTGCTGCCATTAGTGGGTGAAAGATTGTTTTGCTGCCTGAGATGGGATGTGCCTGGCCAATGCCCTCTTCTCTGATTTTTTGACAGGGACCTAAAAAGGGACAAGATGGGAGGAGGACAATCCAGCAGGAGATCATTTAGGGCTTCATGCTATAAACGGTTTTGCATTTCCAGAGATGAAACAAGTCTCTCCAACACAGGGAAATTGCAGATCATAGCCCTAGGCTCTGGCTGGTTTTATCAATCTGGCAGTTCAGGGTCAGTGCAAAGGACATCCCCAACACCTGTGAAAAGAGTTGGGAAAATATGAAGTCTTCATAAGAAAAGTCATTTTCTTCACAACTCCTGGGATTGGCCCCTGAGAAAAGGAATGTTTCCCTCACACTGAAACCACCCTTCCCAGCATTACTTTTAAGTCTCTCTCAGGACTTCTCTCCTTTAGTTAAAGAATAGCAGTGGGGACAGAAATGGGGTCAGTGATGACAAGATAATAGGCTGTAAAGTATTGGACCATGTTTGTCTTCTGAGGAAGTCACAGAAGCCCTGCTGCTAGGGTCGTCATATTCTGCTCACTGAACACTGTGCAATGAGTTATCTCTCTCCATGCTCTGTGCCTCCTTCGTTTTCAAGCAGAGGAAAATCATTTTATCTCAGCTTCCTGATTGGGTTTTAACTAATCTATGATATACCCAACACTTGGGTAGAAAAATGGTAGAAATATCACATTATTTTAATTTTTTTTTATTAAAAAGGACAAAAAACGACCTTCAATTTACCCATCACTTGTCAAACTGAGCACAGAAACAGAGAAAATTGATTATAATTTTCGTCATCAATCCCTTAGCATGCAAGGTCAGTTTTTCAAATAAAATTCTTATCAATTCATCTTTTTCAGACCAGCTGAGGGAGGGATCAAAGTGGGATTCTCCTTGGTGGCCTTTTGTTTGACTGTGAATCATGTGAATCACTCATATCTCTGAGGAATAAATTGACCAGAGAGATGTTCTTATAGCACAATTTCTATATACCTTGAACCAAATTATTCATTACATTATTTTCTACTTGGTTGTGGAACTCAGATGCTAGTAAAAATAGCTAACATTTATTGTGTACATACTGTGTACCCGGTACAATTCTGAAACCTTACCTGACTTAACTCATGTAATCCTCACAACAACCCTGTGGTTAAGCTCTTACCTCGATCACACATACACAGATGGTAATGATTCCGATATACAGGAAATTGGAGTGAAACCACAGTTTGGCTTTCGCATAGCAACCCTAGAAAAAATTTCAGTTACAAATGATACTCTCTACAATTCTGCCATATCAAGAGGATTACTTGGAAGATACAGCGGTTTGCATTTTACGTTTCATAATACAAAGATACTTAGGTATCATATTTTCATTTTCTTTGCATAAATGAAGAAACAGGCATAAAGTGGGAAATATTAAACTAGAGACTTTTCTGCTGTTGTTATCATTACAGTGGTACTTAATATAGAAGTCCTAGATCCTTACCCACTGAGTTAAACTAACTTCTAAGAGGCAGGTCAGTAACTGATGTCCTACTGTCTTTCAACACTCAGTGCTGACCTGAGATTAACAAATGGGAATAGAGGGTATGCAATCCTAAAATTGGTTTGCATTTCACTTTCTGCTTCAACAGTTAATAAATCCATTATAGCCCTACCAGGCACCAGGGCAGCTGTTGGTCAGTGGGTGTCCTAGTCTTTCTCCACAAACCTGAAAAATTCTAGAGATTTCCAGACACCTTCAGGGGCAGGTAACATGAGGAGACAAGACCTCAGGGATTTGGTTTAGTTGGAAGATGGTTTTGGCTTCTTCTCAGAGCCTGTTCTGGATGTCCAAATTAATTAGGTTGTTTCAGCAGTTCCACTAACTCCCTCTCACACAACTCCTTACTCATTCACTTATGATTCACTTCCCTAAGGGGCTGAATTCTGCCATCTTCAAGAGAAAGAGGGAGAGGAAGAAACTTTTCTATCTCAATCCTATAAATTTCACTTTTAACCATAAGGATACCTACTTCTTGCTTAAGAAATATCTAGACACAGCCCTCTTTCACTTTCACACAAACTATTCCCCTCTAATGTAATAGTCTAGTGTAGCAAGATCAATCACAGTGTCTCTAGTGTAAATGAGTCTGTTCCTATGTTGTTCTGACTTTTCTAATTACCAGAGGTTGTCACCCTGGCCTCTCTTTTATTAAAGGTGCCCTGCTTCTGGATAGAAGGTCTAGATCCTCTATGACCACAGTTTCCAATTTAAACATTTAAACCAAGATGTCAATAACAGAAACATTGCCAACAAAATTACCTCCACTTTTGGATCTGAGGGGCATGATGCTGGTGGGCCACTGGTCCAATCACGCGTGCCATTTATACCACAACACTGCAGCTAAAAGCCAAACCCCCAAAACAATGATGGTTAGAAAGTTAACAGTGAAAAAAAAGCTGTGGACCTTAGAGGAAAAGGTGGCCCTTCAGATCTGACTCTATAGCGGAAGTTCAGAATTGGCCTGTTTACTATGGTCTCCTTGAAACAAAGTGCTTTCTAATCTGTTATACCATTTCATTCACATAAGACCCCTTGTGGAGTAGAGACCCCTGTGCTTAATCTGGTCACATTTTACAGATCAAGAGTAAGGCACCCAGGGACTGCATAATGGAGGGATTAGGCTGACTACCCTTGGACCCACCAAGAGCTTAAGTCTTAAGATCACAGAAAGTGAGACCATCAGACATATGTACCTGCTTACATGATACAACAGGAAATGATAGCTATGGCAATCTTATCACAAAACAAAAACCCATCACACTTCTAAGATGGGGCTTATGCAGCCAGAGACTCCCCGATACCAAAATACTTGAGGAAGCAACTAGCCAGACCTAGAGAGTGAAGAAGTCTATAGAACAAATAGCCAAATTTCTTTGCACAAAGAGCAAGAGCAAAGAGGGGTACTACAGATTAAAAAAAGAAATAGAGAGACATGTCATTCAAATATAAACACATAGGCTTTGTTAAGATCTTGATTTGAACAAATCAATTAAAAATTTTTGAGAAAATTAGGGAAATTTAATTATAGACTTTATGGGTGGTATTAAGTAAAATTTTAGGTGTATTAAAAAGAAGTTCTTTTATATTTAGTGGGTGAAATGATATATTGTCTAGTATTTACTTTAACATATAGGGAATTAGATGAGATGACACTGGCAAAATGTTAACTATTGAAGAGTTGGGACATTCATTTTTCTGTTTTTCTCTTTACGTTTGTATATTTCTAAAAATTATATAATAAAAAGTTTTCTAAACTGAATTGAAAACATAAAGAATTGGAAATCTAAAGAAGTTAAATGACTTCCCCAAGGCCACCCAATTCTCGTCTCGAGGCTCTAATTCCTGTGCCATTTCTTCTACTCCATACCAAGCTGCCATGCGGTCATAGTGGTATTGTTTTGAGACAACAGAGATTATACTGGTGCAAGGCTCCATCTTCATCTCCCAACACATCAGCTCAGGAACACAGAGCTTGTATATGCTGTATATATCTATATTCGTGTTTGTGGGTAGAAATGGCACATGGCGAATGGGGTGTTGGTAGGCCAGGTAACAAGCCTGATTTGGGCAACTCAAGAATTCAATGGCAATTTCTTGTATTATACAATACTGTTTTCAGTAAAATTTTGGAAAATACATAAACTAATCCAGTTTGCTGTGTCTGAGTCTTCTTCACATCCTAGTAGAACTTAGATAATACACCTATTCGCATTAGAAAAGGATGAAAGAGAGAAATGTAGATAACTTTGTACTAATCAGACTAATTCCTGGGCTCCCCTGTGTGTGATAGCCAAGGCATTATTCTGGACCTCAGGGATGTGGACCTTAGATTCTGAAACTTCCAGAAAAAAGAACTAGCCCCCAGGGATTTAGGCTTGAAAATAAAGTCTGGGCTGATCTGAAGAGGATTCCACCTTTACTCACAAATGACTGGATGGAATCCCACGCTGCCTTGGTGCTATTGTCCAAGTGGTAATGGTCGATGCTGTCGGTCAGACCCTGAGCCACATACTCATTCAGCTGGGCAGGCACATTCCAGTAGAGGAGACATGGTAAAAAGCAGGTGAGTTCAAGAACTAAGGAATTTCCAGTATAGGCTAGTGGTTGTACTTGCTCTTCCCTTCCAACGGGTCCCCTCAGAACTAAGGGTGAGGAGAGGGTATTTATCTATGGGCAAACATCCTGAGATCCTGAGCGTGAGGTGGCATTGAAGGAAGAAGTATTTAGTAGGCTTGCTTCCTTCCAGAGCTCTGGCTTTACAAGAGAGAAAAAGGGGCAATTAAAGCACGGGCTATCCTTAGGCACTGAGGCAGACATTCTCTCCTGCCAAATACACAGACGAAAGCAAGCAGAGGAAGACACACGTGTTTTACTGCTCCTTCCAGGCATCCCTCAAGACACCACTCAGGCACAATCTCTTTCATAAAATTTTTTCTCCCCCCAATGACTATTACTCTCTCTTTCCTCTATCCTTCCACTTCATTTCTATCTCTATTATAGGACTTATTTTGTACCAACTTCTCCACTGCATACTCCCCACTTTCAGTATTAAGGCAATAAGCTATGCCCTTTATAACTTACCTTCTGTTCATATACAAAGAGCAGGATGGCCAAGATCACCTCAGCAAGGAGGATAATCAGCAGCAAGATGAAGAACTGGGACAAAGCAGAGACATTTTCACACACTGATCTCTATTCTCCCACTCCCACTCAGCCCTGGGAGCGTCCAGGGGCATTTGCACACGTGCGAGATGTTCCTGTTCTGCCTCCTTAGGCCATGGTAAGCCTTCTTTTGTTTTGCGGAAATATGTGTTCTTTTTCTACAATTAGACTCTAGAGGGCAGATCAACTGTCTTCTTTGTTCTCTCCTACCTGCTGTGCCTATCAGAGCACTATACGCATAACACACACACAACACCATCTGTTGAGTAAGTTAAGCAATTTTGACATCTGCCTATTGAAGCAGTTAAGCAAAAGGTCAGTAAACTAAATCATCTGGAGCCTGGTCCTTTCTACAAGATCAGGGACACTTCTGGCTGGAGGACTGCTGGTAGTGGCTAAAAGGAGCCCTGTACAGTAGGGAGAAAGAAGGACTCTAGCCATGAGTCTAACTCATATTTGTTTCCAGCTTTAGATCCTTACTCCCTTTATGCTAATAACACACAATAGAAAAAATTTTCGCTTATTCCTTCTCCTTCACCTTTTTTACCCCAACATTAATTTTGACTGCTTAAAACATTTACTGCATGTCCATTATCTTCCATCTCTGCCATTAGTCTGAGAACTGAGAAGAGGAACGGTTTTTTTTTTTTTTTTTCCTTATTCCTTCTCTTGGCTTCAGTTTAAGACTTAACCCATAATGGAGAAAAAGATGACTTAAGAAAGAACCAAGGTGATTGGAAACCCACACCTATTGGTAAAGGGGCGCTGTTACACCAAGCTCTGTTCGGGGAACACGAGAGAAATGTAGAGCTCAGTGCTCTACAGGCGCTCTGCTTAGACCTCAGTGGCTGCAGCCAGAGCCCTCACCTAAACTGGGTCTCTCTACGGAGTACCTTGTGCAGATATGAGCTAAGAAAGCATCCTCTGCCATTTGGGGAAGAAAGAGTTTGGAAATTATTTTTCCATCAGTTAGTGACTCTTGAGTCAGATCCTGAAAGTACATAATAATAGCTAGCATGAGGAGGATTTTGGAAGATAGATGACACCTGATTTCATCCAGAAATGAAGGAAAAATAAAATGCTCTGAAGGGGAATTATAATAATGGCAAAGGTCATTATTAGCAGTATAAAATGGCTACCAGGGAGGATAGCAATGTCCTCTCTCACCTGTCCTTGGGACCCTAGTTATACATAATATACTGTTGGTCTGGACAGACTTGGCTGATCTGAGGTACCAATCGCATTTTGCTATGATCTCTCTGTGCCTGTAAGTGATCTACCAAGAAATATCTTGCCTGGGACTTCGGCACCATCTCCCCAACTTGGGCACCACATCTGCTGTAAGGACTCACCGACATAAGCAGGCACTTGTTCTCCTTGATAGAGCCCATGCAGCCCAGGAAGGCAACTACCATGATAATGGAGCCCACGATGATGAACACATTGCCCAGCGTGAGGGAGGGGAGGTTATGGAAGAGCACTCCGAAGTTGTTGTGGATCAGCAGGTAGATCCCAAAGCCCAAAAGGCAGCAGCCACAGATCTGAAAGGAAGAATCCCCCAACATCCTGAAGCAAAACGTGTTTCTTGGATATGTCCTCCTATTTTCACTTCCTTGAGATCAGAATCACTTTATTTTTAATTGGTTCAATCAAGAGTCTGATGAATAATTTCTTTACTGAACTTTTCCATGCGTACCTTGGAGAGGCAATCCCAGCTTTTTCATGTGGAGACCTACTCACAACTCTTCCTACCCATTTCCAGAAACCAAGGAAAGATCACTCCTGTGAGCCACACAATATCTTCACTATATATCGGTCTAACTCGGTGCTCCTTATCTTTTCAGTTGCTCACACATGGCTTTCCCCATGGAAACCATGACCATGTAGAGAAGATGCCCTGCTTGAGGAAGCTCATCTTTCTAGGTAGAAAACTAGAGAAGCCAAACTTATAAAAATCTTCTCATGTATACATGAGTACCAACCCATCCTATATCTGAAATTCAATTGCTGGATTTTGTACAGTGAAACCTCCCCAGAAAGGGTGACTTTCCTTTCAATCACTTGTTGTTTCAAGGAATCTAGAAACAAAGACAAGAAAAACAGAGGCACTTAATACCCAGAGCACACAGTCTCAGGTTTCTCAGCTATACATGTTAGCTATGAGTGGTAGTAAACTAAAGCCCTCAGAAAGAAGCAGCGCCTCCATTAATAACTGCATTAGTACCTTTCCATTTTTCAGGTTTATTCTGTGGCAGGAAGAGGGGAAAAATTATTATTCTTTTGTTTCTAGGATGGTTGCACTGGCCATGACCCAAACATGCATGCATTTTACCTGACACCAGCCTCTTCAGTAGAGAAGAGAGGAGAACTTAGCTGCAGAAAGGTGAACTTAACCATGCTCAGAAGAGACACACTTACCCAAAACAGCAAGTTGAAGAAAAACAGGACATACTTCAGCAGTTTCAAGCTACTCATGCCCATGCTGTGATATTCTTACCCTAAGGAATAAGGAAGAAGAAAGTAAGTTACCTGGCTCTGTAAGGTAGCACCAGAGATCGGTGTGCACAAATGTTCAGGGATCTCTAGTGTTACCTTGGGTTTGAGCTATGGCTCTCCTCTGGAAAGTTTCTCCAAACTCTCTGCTCTCCTAGTTTCTGAACTGAAATGTCAACTGGCTCATCTTAAGACATTCACTTTTTTCCCAGTTCAGCAGACCAACAATGCTTAATATTGAATTAAGCAATATTAATTCAATTAATATTGAATTAAGCATTGTAGAAGAAAACAATAGAGCCGTTCTTAGAAGGCGATGCGTCACAATGACAAAGACCAGTCCAGTGCTTTAGCTCCATCTGCAGCATTAGTGACTAGTGCCTGGGCACTTACTCAAGCCCTTGAAGTCAGGGATGGACTGGTCAATCAGCCATCAAGAAAGCCAACAGCTTCATCAGCCAGTTTCTTAAATACTCTGTAATTCATGCACACACTACATCTGATCATTAAACTTCTCCACGTGAACGTGGGGGGAACATAGCCATGCCTCGTTTATTATTTTATTGCAGAAACATTTATAATGTTTTCTGTTTTAGATGTTGTGGAAGATGCAACCATGACTAAGCCGTAGCTATGCTTCAGAAGATAACAGTCTTACAGCAGAGATAGCCGGGCACTGTGGCTCATGCCTGTAATCCCAGCTCTTAGGGAGGCAGAGGCAGGAGGATAGCTTGAGCCCAGGAGTTTGAGACCTGACTGGGCAATATAGCAAGACCCCATTCTCCACAAAAAAAAAAAAAAAAAAAAAAAAAAAAAAAAAAACTTA